TTTTTGGCTTCAGGTTGCCAGGACAAAGATTGGATTATCGATGTCATAGTAAGCAACATTAGTAGACTTCGTAGAAGCTTCAATGGTTTTTTTTCTTATTCTTGTTATTATTGTTGGTGAGGTTGTTGAGGTTGTTTCTTGCCCTGTCAATCTGTCTGGAAATACGTATCTTGGGTATATATATCTATCTCTCTCTCCGAGAGAGAGAGAGGAGGGGTGTATTCGTAGCTATTGAGGTAATAATTCTTATTATCTGTTCCGTGTTTTGTAGTTAGAGTAGTACAGTACAAGGATGAGTCGAGTCCTAGGACCGTGATAACTTTTGATGTGCCTTGACAACATACTCCTTGGGTATGGAGAGCTAAGTACATCCTACCTGGATGCCTATGGAAGGACGCTTTGTACTGTATGTACAGTACATACACAGGTACAGTACATGTAGTTTCTCCTACATACAGTAGATTACTATACTATAGGCATAACTACGCACAAGGCAGTCATGTTGCGTCATTTTTTTACTGGACTACGGCAGTCGAGTACTGACCTGGCTATCGTGGCTCCAACCTAGATGGTTATTATTTAACTCTGGTCTATTTAGTCTTTCTCCGCAATCTATTTAATCTTATATATATAGTTCAGTTCAGTTCCCACGATTTGTCACGTTTAGTCTGTTGCTACCTAGGTACTAACCTTGGTAGGTACTGGGTACTCTTAGTCTATTGCTACTCTGTAGGAGTAGTAATGGTCAAGATTAGACCACCCACTGCTTCAGGGAACGAGGGATGATGTCACTGAAGTTGCTCTGAGCAGGGAGTTCTCCACTTGTTTCCATATACAATGGCTGAGTAATAGATCCCTTGCATGAGTGAAGAGTAGTCTGTCTGACCTGCCTTGAGGCGTGGCTTCGTCATCACGTGCACTGGACGGAGTGTACGGAGTACTCGATGCGGTCCTCGAGGTAGTGTACGTACATACTGCGTACAGCACATGCAGTTCTCCGTGGAATAGTATACGTATAGTATACGTCTTCTTTTATCCTGCTCCGGATCCATGGTGCTGCTCATGGATGCTGCTCATGGTGCTGCTTTCATAATATTATCTGTTCTCTGCGGCCATCCGGAGTTATGGCATCGCTGCAGGGGTATCCCCAGCAAGTTGAGAAATTGCCTGACTGATCGTCAGACAGTCAACGACCCGGGTCCGTACCTGACTATTGAGTGATATATCTGTGCTTCGACATGGTTTGTAGTTCTCTTCGGCGAATATTTTCTTTCTGTTTCTCTGAAGATCCGATCCCGATCCGATCGCGATCCAGTTGGACCTGACTCCAATGAACGGTGGGTGCACAACCGACAGGTTCCAATGGTTGGGCCATCGTGGCATCAACAGTGGCTGACCTCGACTATTCTGTCCTGTCGAGGTGACTCGAGTTGACTCGAGTCGAACTGGGGTTAACTGGGGGTTTATCCTTGGATCCGGATCCAACACGTAGCCTGCCCCAGCGTGCTACTGTACCTCGCCAGGACGGTTATGGACGAGTGCTTGTTCTGTCCAGGCACAGATAGTGCTCTCCTTACCCCATCAGTGCACAGGTGGGTCGAGATGCAAAGATAAGGTGGGCAATGAGGGCGCTGCAAGGGCCACCTCCATCAAGTTATCAACTCTTGACGGATTGCCAAATCTGCTGGTGAGGAATCGACGTGATTGGCCTGATTTGCACTCCCTTGTCAGGGCAACGTGTACTCTGCACTCCTGCAGCGAGGTGGTATCTCCTGTACTCCGTACCCTGTATCTCCTGCTATCTCCTCCTTTCCGGGTCCCTGCATCAAAGACAGGAATCGACCCTCGAAGCAGCGCCTGGTGTCACTCTGCGGCAGGTGGCGGAGTCGCTTCGATAATCCCGCCGTAGGCATCAGGCTTAGCCTGCTGGTCGATACTGGGTCGAGCATAGTGGATGATACGCTGCCTGTGCTCGGTATCGCACAACGGCCGGTGAAACAGGATCGCGCATCATGTGCCGCGGTGGGCCGCCAAGCTCCGCCGAATCCTCTTCCGCTTTGCCCCAGTTGCATCGTCTGCATCTTCTGCACTCGACGTGTCGACCAGCGATGATCAATGAACTGGTAACCTGCAGCAGGCGTGTCATATCCTCGAGCAGCCTGCATCGAGTTCACGACGCTAACGTGGCCGTTGACAGAGCCCGCGTTCCCCATGTGCCGATGCACTCCGGTGACGATCGCAGACCGGTGTCGCGCCATCCGTGATCGCACCTCTCAAGTGTCGTCCGGTCGATACGTCAGGCCGTGGGCAAGGGTCGGCATCCAGGGTTCGTCTGACTCGTAGGGAGAACGATGGTTCGTGTCGCGACCCTGGCTAGGGCGCCTGCTGCTGCGTATACAGTCGCAATGGAATCCAGGACGGTAGCATGAGAAGGGGGCCTGAGCCTGGACGGCCCCTTCGTAACGACGTGCAAGATCAACCAAAGCGGCAATAATCAATCATGGCTCTGGCATCCACGTGTCCAGGGGCCTCTCCTCCCTCCTCCGAAATCCCTGCATCTGGCCCGTTTCCGTATGGACGAGTTCACTTCTCTCTCTCTCTTTGGCCCCACTGGCGGGCGAGGAGTGCCTCCCCTTC